CCAATACCTTATAAATATATATTAATATTTAATTATTTAACTTATTATTTATTTAAATTTTTAAATTATACTATACCGCGATATTCTGGATGCAAAAAATATGCTAATAAATAATTCTCACTGTCAAAATTCTTCCATCTATTATTAATAACATGTATGCAATAATTCTTGAATGAATTAATATGGAGATTTGAAATTTTTTTAATAGCTGCTGCTAACCGGATAAACTGTAAAAAACAATCAGCTAAGGTTGTTGATTGAGCTTCTAAATTTAAAATCATTGCTCAAATAGGAGCCAAAACCTTAACTAAAATTTTAATATCCACAAAAAAAAATGCCTTTTTCAAAATTTGTTTTACAACACGATTAGTAATTAAATCCGGATTTTCATTCATAATCTGTATAAATATTTAATAAACAATTTGTTTAATTAATAAAACATTAATCAAATTTAGAATCTTACTTTTATGAATGCACGTTCAAGTTGACTAACAGATAATACACATTCATATGCAGAAGTCCATCTTGTATCAACAAATTTTTTTAATCCTCCTCCAGATATTTTTAATTCACTAATTACCTGTTGTAAATATACATTTGGCTGATGTGATTTTTTAAAATATTTTATAATTTCATTACAATCTTTTATAAGACGTGAACTAAATATAAACTCTAGAATAAAATTTATATTAATATAAAAGAATTAAATATACAAAATACTTTTAATACTTACTAAGAATATCTTTTGATATAAGATTAGCACAATGTGCAATACAATTAAAATTTAAGATATTTGGGTATTTTTCATGAATTATTTGTTGAGCAAGCTTTACATTACTAGCATTATCAGAGACAATTGCTGCAAATTTGTTATTTCCAATTTCATTTATAACATACTCAATTTTGTCTGCAAAAAATCAGAAGTATATGAACTTAAAGAATAATTACATAATGAATATAAAAATTTAATATGCATAGATGTTAAAATCATAAAACAATAAATAGAATTTCTATTAGGTGATGTCCATCCAGTTAGTGCTATAAATAATAATAATTTAATATATTATATTACAAAAAATAACTATTGTTCTTAAATATATTTACCTATTGTTAAATTACTTGATTTTTTAAAAACAACTTCCCGTTTTATTATAATTTTAGAATGCTCTTGGTTTAATAATTTATTTGCTAATACTTTTCTTGATGGTGGTTGATAACTTGGACACAAACTTTGAAGGAGGTCAATAAAAAAAGAATTCTCAATTACAGAGAATGGAATAACACAAACTACAAAGGCTTTTATTAATGCATTATTTATTAAATTTATCTGTCCATCAGATAAGCCACTATCTTCTTTTTGTGGAAAAAAGCTTGACATAGTAGATT